CACACACACACACACACACAAAACACTTCCAGTATAACAATTCATCAGAGAAGGAAGCCAGGATTTAGGTAGAAGCAAAAGCTGTTGTTCCTGAGGCCATGAACGAGTGCTGCTTACTGGCTTGCTCAGCCTCCTTTCTTACAACACCCAGGACTGCCAGCCTAGGGGTGACACCACAGCTGGGTCGTGGTGGACCACAATGTGTTAGGTCCTCCAACAAGCATTCATTAAAAAGGACCACAGGTGGGGGCTGGAGAGATGGCTCAGAGGTTAAGAGCATTGCCTGCTCTTCCAAAGGTCCTGAGTTCAATTCCCAGCAACCACATGGTGGCTCACAACCATCTGTAATGGGGTCTGGTGCCCTCTTCTGGCCTGCAGGCAAACACACAGACAGAATATTGTATACATAATAAATAAATATTTAAAAAAAAAGGTCCACAGGTTTAACTATAGGCCAATTTTATGGAGGAATTTTCTAAATTGTGGTTCTGTCTTAGATAATGCTACTTAGTTTTAAATTGGCAAAAAAAAAAAAAAAAGATAAAACAGAGGGCTGGAGAGATAGCTCAGAGGTTAAGAGCACTGGCTGCTTGCTCTTCCAGATCTTAAGTTCAATTCCCAGCAACCACATTGTGGCTCACAACCATCTATATTGAGATCTGGTGCTCTCTTCTGGACTGCAGGCAAAGCGATTATACATAATAAATGAGAGAGAGAGAGAGAGAGAGAGAGAGAGAGAGAGAGAGAGAGAGAGAGAGAACAACAGCTAACCAACCAAGCAGGACAGCCAGATCCAGCCACAAAAAGGAAAGTAACAGGTCTCTGTAGAACTTTGTGGGCTGGGGCTGCAGTTCAATGGCAGGTAAAGAGCTTACTCAACTCACAAGGTCAGTACCCCAAACAAGCAAAACAGACCATTGCATCATCTCTCCTTATCTTGAAAGAAAACACAATGGCTGATCATAAAAACTGTCTTTAAATTAAGGCTTTTAAAGCAGCATCTGTTTTTATATTCACTCACTCACTTATCTGTCTATCTACCTATCATCTATCTATTTGGGGAGTCGTCTTATGAAGCGGGGTCTGGATGTACAGCCCTGGCTATCATGAACTGGTTATGCAGACCAGTTAACCTCAAACTTGAAGTGATTCTGTCTCTGCTTTCCTCCCAAGTATTGGGATTAGAGGTGTGAGTCACCACAACTGTCATACCAGCCTGGGACTAAGAGTCTACCAGCAGTATGAGCTACTCTCTCTTTCTCATTCATATGCACAGGAGGCAGAGAGGCAGGCACATTTGTAGGCTAACCCACCCAATCTACACTGAATTTCAGCATACCCAGGACTACGTAGAGATTCAGTTACAAATTAATTAAATGACTATATATATATATATATATATCTTTTAAAAGATTATTGCTCAAAGAAAGGTAACACTGCATGGTGAAATGTACCTGTAATACTCTACAAGTATATGGAATAGATAGCATGCATATGTGCATACATACACGTACATATGGATAAAACATAACAAAGAACACGCAATGCTGGCACACATAATCTCGGCAGTAACCAGTGTCTCTTTACCTAGGCTTAAGACCTGCTTAAAAATAAGGAAATCACGCCTGGTACAGGAACTTAGCCAACAACCCAAGGTTGGCAAAGTCACTGATCTTGGAGAACCTACAACCAGCACTTTACTAAACCAGCATAATCCCTAACCACATTCTAAATATGTCCTTATATCCAAGTGTAGTTCTCCCTATACTCAAGGAAACTTGAAACTTCTCTTTAAGAAAACCACAATCAATCAAAATGCAGAGTTGTGTAGCCTAGTCCCACTGAATATAACTACAATACAATTCACTCACCTATGACTCAAGGAACAGTGCAGAAAGAGGGCAGAAGACAGAAAGAACTGGAGATCAGGGAGTAAGTATGTGTAGGAATTTATATTACCAATATAAATACCTTAATACTACCTGACTGAAGACAACACCTTTGATAGACATGCCAAAGTGGACAGGGGAATTACCATAAAGCCTGAATCCTACACAAAAAGTCACAAGTTACAAAGGAATGCTGAAGAGGGAGAAACAGGGAAAAATACAATTGGTTAAACAATAGGTCAGCCCTGAAAACACACACACATATATATGTATGTATGTATGTATGTCATTACAAACAGAACAGGTTGTTTATATATCTGAATATATATAGGAATAAAAAGGGCCATAAATTTGAAAAAGAGCAAGAAGAGGTATATAGGAGGATTTGGAGGGAGGAAAGTAAATGAAGAAATGTGTAATTAACATTATAATTTCAAAAAATAAATATTTTCCAAAAAAAAAAACCAATCCATGCAATTAAAAAAAATACAGGGGGCTGGAGAGATGGCTCAGTGGTTAAGAGCACTAGCTACTCTTCTGGAGGTCCTGAGTTCGGTTCCCAGCAGCCACATGATGGCTCATAACCATCTGTAATAAGATCTGGAACCCTCTTCTGGCATGTGAGCATGCATGGAGGCAGAATGTTGTATACATAATAAATAAATAAATCTTTAAAAAAATACAGGCATATGGGGGAAAAAAGGCAGTGTGGGTGATAGAGAGGATATAAACCTAAATCTACAGCAAAAATATTTGGGGGTTGGAGAGGTGGGTATTGTAGAAGGCCCAGGTCCCAGCACTCACATGGTGGCTCACACTGTTTGGAATTCCAGTTAAACAAATCTTTAAAGAAATATATCCAACAACTCAAGTTGGCTGGCGGTGCAGGCCTATATTTCTAGTACTGGGAAGGCTGAGAAAAAAAAAAAAACAAACAGCACCGCAAACAAAAAAACCAAGGCCAGTCTGGGCTATACAGCAAGATGTCTGAAAAAAAGTAGAAAATTCCCCAAACTCAAAACACAATACTTAATTCTCTCCTATGCTAACAAATAAAATATATAGTCACTGGAAGGCAATGTATCAAAGAGGCAATAACTGTGGTATAACACTTCATTTTTACATTTACCCTAAGGTATAAACAAATACAAAAATATAAAATATAGCCGGGCGATGGTGGCGCACGCCTTTAATCCCAGCACTTGGGAGGCAGAGGCAGGCGGATCTCTGTGAGTGAGACCAGCCTGGTCTACAGAGCTAGTTCCAGGACAGGCTCCAAAGCCACAGAGAAACCCTGTCTCGAAAAAAAAAAATATATATATATATATATATATATATATATATATATTTGTCAAGATAAGGGAAGAAAACTAGCAAGGCTCAATAGGTGAGCCCTAAATTAGCTATGTGAGTTCTATCTATGGATTACTCCACAATAATAATGTGCATAATAATAATAATGTGCATCTAAATTATAAAAGATTAGCTAAAAGGACAGCGGTGGTGCCCCCCCCCAGCCTTTAATCCCAGTACTTAGGGGAGGCAGAAGCAGGCAGATCTCTGTGAGTTTGAGGCCAGCCTTGTCTACAAAGCGAGTTCTAGGACAGACAGTGAGTACAGCAAGCAGTCTACCAACTGAGCCCCAATAGTTTTACTTTTATAAGGATATAAAAAAATACTATGTGTAAATAAATAATAAAATAGAAATAAATAATATATATGAAATTTGCTTAAGATGAATTTCACGAAGGTACTACTGACAGCAAACTTACTTGCAGTTCCCTACCCTCCCCCAAAAAGAAAAACAGGTTGATAAATAGTAACAAAGTCAAGC